CGGTGTGTGTCTTTGATAATTGCCTTAGTTGTTTTCACGGTAGCGGTAATGTCTTAGAATTTCCTATTTTGTATTTTAAAAGAGCAAAACAGGTATTTTAAGGAAAAAGAATTTTTAGGGTGTTACACCAAAGTTGCTGGATACGAGGACCATTAGTTTGAGCGTATCGCTTCTTAAGATGGTCCCAAAATGGCTTGACTTCTCTGAATTTCAAAAGAGAGGATTTAACCTTGGAATCAATGGTGTTTGAAAGCCACGAAATTAACATGTCATTGATTGCAGTCCAATCGGACTTAGTACAAGGGGGTTTTGGTTCGTTAATTGTTCCATCCAAAAACTCGATTTTCTTCTTGCTTCCAAAGCAGTCTGTATATTAGCTGCCCATTCATCATAATTATCACCTTTGAGGCGAGTAGGGGTAATGTAATCTCTAGGGCGGTCTTGAGGACCTAGATAATAGAGCGAATTGGGTTCTATTTTTGGTGGTGGTGGCGGTGGTGGTGTATCATTATCGGCCATTGTTGGTTATGAGAAAAAAAAAATCAACCGGCTCTTGATACCATGAAGAAATTGAATGATATCGGCTTGCCTTCCTCATTAATCACAATCGAAATATATAAGATACATTCTTCCTAACCATAGAATCAAAAGATTACGTAGGATCTTAAGAAGTTAACTAAAATACATGAGATAATATTTGCTAATATTCTATCATATCAAACAATATACGATAATATCTCAATAAAGTTGGTTTAGCTAGGGGTTGGGAAAGCTACTAATAAGTAACTTTCCTACGTAGACTAAGAGAGTAAGAGCTACGAGGACTAAGGGCTAACATATATTGTATAATTAACGTTTAACAACACACATAATAAAACGTTAATGGGCATATCGATTATAACAAAATTTGCGCTATAAATTTAATTATTGTGTACGCAGGGCAGTAGAAGAGGGTGTGCAACGTGGGCCTTAGCATAGGGCCCCAAAATTAAAAGGGTCACCAGTCTTATTGTGTATATATATAATACCCTGCAATTTATTTATAATATATGGTGAATGTTGTAGTGGTTGAATCCAGAATTTTAGAGTTTCCTTAAGGCAACTTTGTCGCATGATCGATTCCCATAAGATTTATTTATTTATTTATTTATTTTACTAAAGCATCTTTCCCTTAATTCTTCTCCCAGCAAGATTTTCAACCTTTCATTTTTACATTAATTTTTCAACAATTACCAATTACAATTAATTATCTCAATAATTCTTCACCTCATTTACAACTTTTAACTACCCTCCTCTAAAAATTCAATCAATGCTTTCATGCATTTCCCATATTCAACAATTTTATTTTCATTTTTCATTAGAGGAAAAAAAAAACATGTAGTTGTTTTTGTATGGCTTTTCATTTTTCAATACTAAGCAAACTTTATCTATGGCTTTTATTTTTGGAGGTTCTATAATCATCTATATGCAAGGTTGCAATTTTACATTAAAAATCAGAATAATTAGTGATGTATCTACATTGTAAGTTTCGAATTTGGTAAAAGTAGTATGCACCAAATTTTTTTTTAAATTGAAACTCTATTGCTTTAGACATCTGTTACCAGGTTTTTGGTCCTATTTTTTTCTGCATTTTTTCCCAAATTAAGCTTTATACGGAAATTATTTACGAAATTGGTCTCGTGGCAAAAGTATTTCCCAAACTAAGCTTCTGAGGTGAAACGCTGTCTCGGACAACATTTTACACTCAGTTTTTTTTAAAAAAAAAATTAAAGACATAAAACGCTGCCTCAGGCAGCGTTTTATGGTAGTTTGACTTTTTTCAAAAACTTCGTATTTTATACCTGTTTTATACAAATAAACGCTGCCTGAGGTAGCATTTATATCTTTAAATGAAACGCTGCCTCAGGCAGCGTTTAATGTACAAGCATAAAACGCAGCCTGAGGCAGCGTTTTTATCTGTACATTAAACGCTGCCTCAGGCAGCGTTTCTTGCGAGAATTATAACGAATTCCAGGCCTTTTTTTCTCAATCTCTTTCACGCAATTTACACTCTCTCTCTCACTAACTCTCATTGTCAGCAACAAAGAACCACAGTCGTTGCCAACGCCTCCCCTGCCGTGCCGCCGCCCCTGCCGCCGCCAAAGTGAACGGAAGTTGTTGCCGGCATTGTCTCACTCACTCTTTAAATCCGGGTAAACCCTAAATTCGTAGTACATTGTTGAATTTTACATTGAATAGTTGGTAGTAGATAGTTGTTGTATGTTGTAGCAAATTGTGATGTAAATTGTATTAATTTGTTGCTAATTAGTAATGAAATGTGATAAATTGTTGATAATTATTGATGATAATGTGGTACATTGTTGAGGAAAAATATAGACAAAATTGTTGATTAAATTGTCGACGAAATTGTTGATGAAATTGTTAATGATAATGTGGTTTGTTTTTGATGAAATTCTTGATGAAATTGTTGATGGTAATGTGGTCTATTATTGTGAAAAAAATGATAAAATTGTTGATGGTAATGCACTATTAGTATGTTGATAGTTGTATGCGGTACTAAGAGTTTATGAAATTGGTGATGAAAATATTGATAATGAGAATGGACTTGTTTCATTGTTGTCATATTAGCTACACATGTAGGTTCTCGAAATTTGATATAACTTTCCATTATCGAAGCTATGTATGTTATGTATTGTTAAATTAGGGTTTTTTGACGTTGTTTTAGAATTCGATTATCCTTAAATGTGTTTTGGTTGGTATGTAGAATATGGCTTCACAAAATGTAGTGTTGTTATGCCGGTGGGGAGGTAAAATTATGTGCGATGGATCAAATGTTGAGTACAGTGGAGGGAATATGGAACTTATAACACTTGAACCGAACATGACTGTGAATGATCTGATGAATGAGGTTCACAGTGAACCGAACACACTGTTAACTTCCAGTTGAGAACCTGTACATGCAACAAACCCCTGATATTCCACCTTCCATGCTCTCATGTTCTAGCAGTGTGTGCGACTTATTCACTGTCCGAGAGGCCGTGGGTGGACCCTTTCCTGCAATCGGATGCATATATGAACACGTATGCACCACAGTTCTGGCCTATTCCATGTGAGACCACTTGGACGCAGTACATAGGACCTAGACTCATCCCGGACGCCAGCATGGTAAGAGGAAAAGGTCGGCCAAAGTCAAAGCGCATACGCAATTAAATGGATGACACTAACCGACCTAGGACTAAATGCAGCCGCTGTCACCAACAAGGTCACAATCGCAAAACGTGCCCAGCTAGATCAACCGAAACATAAGCTTGTAATTGTTTAGCTATAGTAGTAGAACAGTAGATTCATGTAGTAGTTGATTAATGACGTTATGTAACATTTGTAACGCTTGGATTATATTTGAGATTTGGTGACTTATATTTCGTACTTGTCTTTTACCTGTGACAGTCATGTCAATTTCATTGACTAGTAATTCTGTTTTTTAATTGGTTTGGCCATATTGTTTTGAATGAACAGATATCATGGTCGGACACGATCGAATACCAGGACCACTTGACCCTTCTGTCCTTACACTGCAGGATAAACATCGGAGTGTTGACATATGGGAGCAGACGGTAATTTCTCACGTGCCATTTCATATACAGATTTGTCTTGTTTTTTTGTATACTTGACCCTTATTTACAGTTTTTAAATGAATTACCAGGTGGACATAGCGGAAATGTTGGGGTGCAGGCAGTTGAGGTCCGGCTGGGCAGTCGATCCACGCGTTCTTCAGTACGTCGACTGGGTTGGCTTTGGTGGTATTCATCGCGTGGGCTACAGAGAAATAGATCGAGGGCTTATCACAGCATTAGTTGAGAGATGGAGGCAGGAGACACACTCCTTCCATCAACCTGTGGGGGAGGCGACAGTCACGCTACGGGACGTCGCGATACTCACACGCCTTCCCATCCATGGGAATGCGGTGACAGGGGGTGTGGTACTTGACCCCGCAGGTTAAGTAGGTCGGGTTTTAGGGGTTCAGCCAGAGCCAAACGAGATCAGGGGCAGCGCGCTGAGGACCGGTTGGCTACGCGACACTTTTGGACATTTACCTCAGGACGCTGACGACGCCACAGTGCAGAGATACGCCCGAGCTTACTTGTTCCTGCTCATCTCAGGCGTGCTCTTTGGAAACAAGAGCGGAAGCCATCTTCAGATTATTTACCTGCAGCTGTTACACCACGACTGGGATGAGATCCGTGGATACAGTTGGGGTAGTGCTTGTTTGGCGGTCTTGTATCGCCATCTGTGTAGAGCATCACAGCGTGGAGCACAGCTGATTGGAGGTCCTTTGGTTGTGCTACAGGTAAACCTCATCATTATCCTTAAGCCTAGTCTGATAATGACTTGACGTTATTTATGCTTTACCTTTTATTTGATTTTTAAAACAACTATGGGCTTGGGAGCACATCCATGTAGGGAGACCAGGTAGGCCTGCTGTACACCGTCCAGGGCAGCTGGACCAGGACGATCAGTACGCAACATACGATGCTCCCCCGCTCCCTAAACCTGATCAGGCATACGGTTGTAGGTTCGTAACATTATACTTGTGTACTCAAATTTTGTTATAATTAGCTAGTACAACTTTTTAAATAATTTGTTGCCACAGGTGGGTGGTTCCCAGACTAACACATGCGCATACAGCGAGAGGTCTTCTCTACTACCGTGACGCCCTCGATCGACTCTCGGATGAACAGGTGGAATCTTGCACTAAATTTGTAATCGTTTGTTTACTCTTTATACTGTTTATTGGCATTGCCCTAACCTTTTCACGATATATCCTTGTTGCAGATGACATGGGATCCCTATTCTGCTGTGTTGGTAGAGGCCATGCCGGAACACTTGCTCGAGCATCGTGCTGAGTGGCTTGCCAAGACCCCATGATCTGTTTCGAGGTGGTGGAGAGCCACCTACCGGACCGAGTGTTGCGACAGTTCGGACTTCACCAGCCTATCCCCATGCCCTGTGACACTAGTATTCGCCTCCACGGCATTGACCTTCGTGGAAAGTTGGAGACAAACTGGGCACTGGAGCATCATCAATTCATTGAGCTTTGGGACCAGCGGTTGGAGTCCATCGTTGACGGTCACCTGTTTCAGGGTGTTATGGATCCGCGTGATCCTTACATGGTATGGTACAGGCAGATTACACGCCTTTTCATCAACCCTACCTACACCCCACCGTCCACGCACTACCATCCAGCTTATGATGTTATCAGCGGACTTGTGAGTTTTTTCAGTTTCTTGTCTTCCAAAATTATTTGAAATTCTATATCATATTACTAATTCAGGGATGATTACTGCAGGCGGGGGATATGGGTGCGATGGTTGATGCACTTTCAGATGCCTTAGCAGCCGTACCCACCAGAGCCCAGGTTGAGCGGGTGCGAGATATGGGCATACATAGCTTGCAGAGATATGGCCATGGCCATCTCGTCCACCCCAGGGACGATCATGACCCCAACTCCTTCCATTCACAGTTCGACTTCGGACAGAGTAGTGGTGGAGGTCATACTTCAGGCTCTACACAGGCAGAGGATTACTTCATCCATAACACCGCTCCCGGCCACAACCAGGATGACTCATCGTCTCGCCAGCTGACTTCTCCACCATCCCGAGACCCATTCACCACCATTCAGCATTACACGAGGCGTCCGAGGCGTGTTCGTAGACGGACGGAGGTCACACAGGATGGAGATCAGTTAACTCCAATACATGAGTCCGGATAGTATTAGTTAGTTGATCCTTTTGTGGTACTCAGATATTTAACAATGTTGTATATAACGCTTACATTATTAATACAAGAAATGTTTTCTAAATGACTCTCTGTACAATTTGAAGTTTATTTCCCTTATTTTTCCGAATTTGACTTTTGTTAGTGAAACTATATCTTTTATATCCGTTATATGTATCAAGCAACATATATTTGGTCTCCTGCACTTAAAGTGCTGTTTCACAATGGTTATCATGCTGTTGGGGTTGTTTCCAGTGTTTGATGGTTGTCGGTGGTGGTCGATGGTGGTGGAAAGGTTGGGGCTGGTGAGAATGCTCTTGCGTTGTTTAGGGTGTTTTATGGTAGTTTATGGGTGGTTGAGAGTGGCGGGCGGTGGTGGTGGGGGAGGTGGTTGATGGTGGTGGGGGTGGTGGTTAATGATGGGGGTGGTGGGAATGTCCTTGCGTTGTTTAGGGTGTTTTGCATTGCATAGGGGTGGTCGAGAGTGGCGGCCGGTGGTGGTGGGGGAGGTAGTTGATGGTGGTGGGGGTGGTGGTTCATGGTGGGGCTGAGCTGATGCGGCTGGGTGAGGGTTATGTGTAGGGGCAGCAGCAGATTGCAGAAACTGTTGGTGATGCAGTGTAGCAGATGCTGCTGGTAATGCAGTCTAGCAGAAAAAACGCTGCCTGAGGCAGCGTTTTATGCTTTAACATAAAATGCAGCCTCAGGCAGCGTTTTAAAGCCCATATACATATTCCAGTATAATTTGGAAAAATATACTAGTATATTTTGCCAAAATACATACCAACATGTCAACAAGGTAAAACGCTGTCTGAGACAGCGTTTTACTTCTTGAATTTTTTTTTAAAAAAACTGGGTGTAAAACGCTGTCCGAGACAACGTTTCACCCCAGAAGCTTAGTTTGGGAAATACTTTTCCCACGAGACCAATTTGGTAAATAATTTACCAATAAAGCTCAATTTGGGAAAAAATCCTTTTTTTCTAATAGATTGTTTTTAATGATTGAAGTATTGTATCATGATTTTAGTTTTTTTTTTAAAAAAAAGAAAAAAGTAAAATATATAATGAAATAAATAAACCTTGAGATTTACGGAGTATTATTCTTAAAAAAAGGCTTGAGAATAAGAGAAAGAAAAATTGATGAGTTTAGATGTTGAAATTCGAAGGGCCCATAATTTAAATTAGCACAGGGCTCCAAAATTGGTTAAGACGGCCCTGTATGTACGTGATGAATATAATAAAGACACTCAAGATCTCACAAAATTTTCTTCTTCAAAAAGAAAAAGAGAAGAAAAAAAAATTCTCTCTCAATCTCACATCATCTCACCTCTAAAGGGTACTTATGTATGGTGAAGTCAAATAGAGGAGAGAAGAGGGTGTCGAAATTATAAATAGAGATAGAGAAAGGAAAGAAAAAGTTTCATGTATTCGATCGACTAAACATAGTAGCAATACAAGGTTTTACATAGACTTATACATCATATAACTTGATAAACTACTAACTAGAATTAATGAAACACAAAATGACTAAGCTACGACATACGTACATAAAGTCAACTAACTATGATAGCATGCCTTCTCACTCTAACAAACTACCAATCCTTTGAACTTGGCACTACTTTGAATCACTAATCCAACATAAGAGAGTGTTGTTGGGAGTCTTGGGACAAGGGACACAACTTGTGTGCGAGTTTCTTTTCTGGGCCAAGTTGTAGAGCCCAACAAATTAAAGAGATGGTGCAGCCCATTGTTATTGGACAATCATTAGGAAATCTAACAATATAAATAAATATACTTCATCAATTTTTATTTTTATTTTTTTTTTGTAAGTAAGATACATGGAGGAGATTAGGTACGTCTTCTCACAAAACCGTGACCTAAACTAATCAAGGAGTAAATAAATAAGCAAAGTTACTATCTAAAAACAGATCTATATCCTGATGAGTCGGAGTAGAATAGCCAAGAGAGGCAACATAGTATGCTGCCTGATTTCCTTCCCGATAGATATGTCTTGCATTGCCTAAAAGCTCGAAAAAAAAAATTCAGAATAGCCTTGACATTCGCCACAAGTAGTTGAAGTGTCCACAGACAGCTGAAATGACCCTGCAAAATATTAATAACTGTAAGATTATCGCCTTCAATAAAAATGCCAAACATATTAAGTATCTCATTTTGATCGCATAATTGTCAATGTTAAGCTTTGATCGATGATATGTTTAATTAACAATATACATTAATAAAAAAGATTGATATTTAAAAATTATACATCAAAACATTCTAACTAGCACTAAGAACTAACATGGCTATGTATATTTTTATATATAAAACACAAATATCGATCAAAATGGTGTTTATAAATGGTGCAAAAGTCAAATTAAAATTAGGCACTTAAAGGAGGAAGTAATAATTAAGTATATTTAACATTTGTAAGGAGAATATTATGCATACATTCCCTGTTACTTAAGACTACGACATTAATACAGTATGTGTTAAATGATTGCTAGCTATATCAAGTTTTCTTGTATCTTACCATATGGACTAATTTTGGTTTAAAGGAATTTAATACTAATAAATGGAATTTTAGAGTATAGTTTTCTAACATCAAACATATATGTTGAAATATGCCTTGAATTGGGTTTAGAAGCAGTGAGCTATAGCTCATGAGGTAGCGCATTAGTTCAGAGGTAATTTGGAGTTGCGACTAATATGGAGTTATAGTTCCAATGCGAGTGAGCTATATGTAGCTCATGGAGGATAGTAGATGTGCAAGGGGTGAGCGAGAGCTTGCTTGATAGCTCGTGGAGGACAAAAGGCGCACTAGAGGGTGAGCGATAGCTCGCTTGACAGTGAGCGAGAGCTCATTCGATTGCATGTGACTGTGCACACACAACTCCTTAGTGTTGCACGAGTCTTTTAATGCATTTATCAATCTTATTTGGGGAGCTATATATAAACCTAATAATTAGGGTTTATTCATAGTTTAGTCTTGTGCTAATAAATTTTCTTATCAATCTGTAATCTGGAATTCCTCAACATCAATAAAGCTTTTCTCTCATTTGCTTGGGGACGTAACCAACACATTATTAGTGAACCACGTAAATCTGTTTAATTGTTGTTTCTCACATTTGTTATAACAAACTAGGTTTTCATTCATATAAGTATTATGAATCATATATTGGGAGTCACTTATAGGCTTATAGCTTTTTAGGACAGAATTTAACTTCTACATTGGATGTACATGTTTCAGCTATATTTTACAAAGTATATATTTCAATATGTAACAATGTACCATCTCAAAGAAATATATGCGGGACAAATAGAGATTTTTATTTTACTTTGTTTATTTTATTATTAAAAAAATTACCGTTAACCAAATATACTTTGGAAGCTTAAAGTAAAATACATAGCATATGATGGGAACCTCTTGTTCGCTATTTGAACGCTCTTTTATTATTAATAAATAAATGTTATAAATTTTAAATAGCATGCATATAAGCAAAATTAAGCATAGTTCGTTGATACTATATTATATAGATTAAACATAATATTGGTACATTAAGCTGTGCCAAATATCTTCTTCATTCGCTTCACTTCTTCATGACTTAGGAGAGTAATTTTTTGAGCTATCTCACCAGGCAAATTGCCCGCAAATAGGGATGGTGTAGTGAGTTGTAATCCTGGGTTTGCGCCATTCAAGCTAACAAATGCAAGTGCTGGAATTTTACCGACGTTAACTTGGAAGTGAAGCATTGCTTCTGGAAAGATCATGACATCACCAACCTCTAGCGTTTTGTAGTAAGCTTTGTTGTTTGAGTCAATAAACCCTGCAATTATCGTACCTTTAATTACAATAATAACTTCTGATGTTCGATGGGAGTGTACTGGAACAGCTCCACCAACTTTCAAGTCTAACCTTGCCATAGAGATGCCTAAACCATTCAAGGCAGGGTAAGCATTTGAAAATGCTAGAGTAGCATTGTATCCAAAAGCATTAGTGATAGTTTTTTCACCACGAAATCCAGTGTAAACAAAGTCCTCAATCGTAACTTTAGAAGAATCTTTGCAAACATAGCCTTCTGGTCCTCTAGGAAGACTAATGTCACCAACACAAAAGTCAAGTTCAATAGCAAGAGTGAGGGATCCTAAAAGAGAGAAAATGATGAAAACTACAAGGTTTTTCATCTTGAAAGCTATAGATAACTAGTAGCAATAAGTGAGGTAAGGCTAGCTTTAGTTTTGTGGATTCACTTCCTTGGTTTGGATTTCTTAGCAAGAATTGGTATCCTATTTATAGGAATGCCATAGTTGACTCTGTTAAAAAAAAAAAAAAAAGGTATGCCATAGTAAACTAGGTATAGAAGCACACCCTTTAAGATTATAATTAAAATATAATTAGAAAACCCTTTTTTCTAGACGTACTGTTGGACTTTTTGTTATACAATTATATAACCGAGTATGTTTATACCTGAGTATTTAATTAGCTAGTAAACGCGAAGAATTGAAAAAAAAATAATGTTGGCGTACTACACTTGATGAAATGCGGAGACTATTCTAATTCATTTTGAAAACTTTATAGTGTAAATTGTATCATTTCTTATGTAAATTTTATCCTAATAAAACCAATCATCTATATTTTAATACTAAAATAACAATCGCTAATATCATCCTATCCTAAAATTAGACAAATATCATATTGTCATAAAATTTTCCCTCCAAAACTATAAAAGATGTCCTCGTTTTATGATTTTTTCTTTTTATTTTATTGAAATTCTGATTAACTATATTGTTATTGTATAAATTTTCGAACAACAACCTATTCTCTCTAATAGTAAAAATTTAATTTAATCATTCAAGTTTTCTATGAGCTCTATTTTTTTATTTTTTTTTTATTTTTTTTTATTTTTTTTATTTTTTTACTATTTGGTGTATTATTTGTTTCTGGAATTTTTTCAAATTTTGGTATGAAAAAATAAACAAATTTAGAAAATTTTATTTGTTCAAATCGTGCATCGCAAGAGACTAATCTATCTATATATACTATATACTAAGGTAATCATCAGAGTTATCCCTAAAGTATACGTGTCGCATTCACAACAAAAATTTCCCGGCCAATTTTTTTTATTTTTTCCTTTTTTTCATAAATATGACATGATAAAAAAGTACAGTTAATGAATAAAAACTTACAATAATTTATAAACATATTTTAACTTATATATCTAACCAGAGAGATTTAAGGGTAGATAAAAAAATTAAATCTTATATAAATCGTTTTGTTTAAACTAACTTCATTTTAATTGACTTTTACTATTTACAAGCCTTATTATTTACATTTATGAATCCGTATGGGGCAAAAACTAGTTAATATTAAAATAGCAACCACTGACATCATCCTATCATAAAATTAGACAAATATCATATTTTCATTCCTCCAAAACTATAAATGATGTCATCATTTTATGATTTTTACTTTTATTTTTATTAAAATTATGATCAGCTATATTGTTATTAGTATAAATTTACGAAAACAACCTATTATCTCCAATAGTAAAAATTTAATTTTTCTTCCTTAGGTACCCCTTTAATCATTCAATTTTTCTGTGAGCTCTATTTTTTTTTTTTTTTATTTGGTGTATTATTTATTTTTGGAATTTTTTTTAAAAATTTTGGTATGAAAAAATAAACAACTTTAGAAAACTTAATTTGTTCAAATCGTGCATAGCACGAGACTAATCTAATTAATAATAGAAGGATTAACCTTTTACTAAAGCGTATAAATTGTTTTTTTTTTCTCCCCCTTTCTTTTTTTTTTTTTAATTTTCAAAAAAATTTTAAAATTTTTATAGGGATCTTACTTTTATACAACTTATATGTGCGTTTTTCATAAAATCTCAATACAGATGACGATTGTACGGGTCATTGTGGTTGTTGAACAAAATCAGATCACGTGATAGTAATGTAAAGGGGGAAGGGGGGAGGAATTTAGCAAAAGGTTGAAATATGCAATTGACGTAGTTGCATTGTAAGATTAACTACCCATGCAAAAAAAAAAATTATCTTAATATATATATATATATATATATATATATATATATATATATATATATATATATATATATATTTAATTTAACAATTAATTCTTTGAGGAACAAATCAAATTATTGATCATACACTTATTATAAGTAATTAGTTAATAGGGATAAATAAAAACTATATTAATTGATTATTTTAAGTTTCTCTTCATATCATAATTACTTAGAAACGGTAACATAAAAGTTTATTATTCCGTATTACTTTGGTCAAGAATACACAATAAACTTTTTAAGGACTAATCCACACAATTTGAATTAGCAAAAAAGTTGGAGCAATAGCAGAAATCGATTTTCGGTAGGAGTAGTTGTAAAAACGGTCATCCTGACTAGGGGTGTACACCGGTCCAAAACCGGACCGGACCTGGACCGGACCTGTTTGGACCGGGGACCTGAATTAGAGAATTTTGAGGACCGGAGACCGGACCTGAATCAACAGGTCCGGTTTCGGGTCAGACCTGAAAATTCAGGTTCGGTCCGGGTTTAGACCTGAACAGACCTGAATTTGTATTTTCCCTTTTTTTTTTCTTTATTCAAGCCAAAGTTTTGACTAAAAACTATCATCAACAACCTCCTACGAACAACCCACCACCACTAATACATACACCCCTACGCACAGCCCACCACCACAAGCTTCTTTCCTTCTACCACCTACCCCAACTCACCCCTTAACCACCTTAACCCCCTTAACCCAGACACCATAACCCCAACAACCCAGACCCATTGATACCCACCCATAACCCAGAAAAACGAAAAAATTACCCCCTTAACCCAGACACCATAACCCCAACAACCCAGACCCATTGATACCCACCCATAACCCAGAAAAACGAAAAAATTGAAAAAAAAACCCACCACCGTCAGGCATCCACCGCACCCACAACCCAGAAAAACAAAAGAAAAAGAAAAAAACCCAAATCGATTCCACACATACATCCAACATCCGAACAAAAAACAAAAAAACGAACAAAAAAATCGCAAAAAACAAATTATACATAAATTGTCAGAAAATCCGAGAAAAAAAATACAGAAATTTCGAAAAAATAGATCTACAAACTTAAATTACAAAATTTATAATTTTACATTACAATTTCATTAAAAAAGATAATTATAATCGTAAATTATGTGAAAAATAAAACTAGATCTACATACTAACCTATATTCAACTAAAACTAAAGTATAAACAAACTCTGGTGACGGCAGATGGTGGACGACGGGGCCTCGATGTTGGACGACGGTGCTCCAATCCCACGATGCTGGAGCCAGGAAGAGAGAAGAGGAGAGGAAGAGGAGTCGTTGAGAACCAGAAAGAAAGGGTGAGATTGAGAATCAGAGAGGAAGAGGGGAGATTGAGAATTAGAGAGGAAGAGGGGATACTGAGAATCAGAAAGGATAAGAGAAAAGGTGAGAGGAGAAGAGGCGTTGCTGAATAGTTGAAGTATTAGGTTTTTTAGGCTTTTATATTTTTTTTATATATATATTATATAAAAAATCCGGGTTTCAGGTCCGGACCTGAAAACCCCGGTTTTGGACCTGATCCGGACCGGAACCGGAAACCTTGAATTTCAAGGACCGGGACCGGACTTGAATCTACAGGTCCGGATCAGGTCCGGTCCCAACAGGTCCGGTTCAGGTCGGTTTTCAGGTCCGGTCCTGTTTATGTACACCCCTAATCCTGACCTCCATATTATATGTTGATATTAACCCCATATTCAAATTACATACTCGTTTATAGGTTCAAACTTTTCCTTATGACTTTGTTTTCATGCAACACATTAGTTATCTTTATAATAATGTACACATTTGACGTCTTCGGGTCAATTTCGGATCGGGTTTGTTCGGGTCAATTTTAAGTTCAATTATAAGGTAATTTTAGTTCGGGACATTTCGGGTATCGGGTTTGTTCGGGTCAATTTTGGGTATCGGGTCTGTTCGAGTCAAACACTTCGGGTCAATTTCGGATCGGGTCAACTTCAGGTCGGATCAGTTCGGGTGTCGGGTTAGGATCGGGTCAACTCCATTTTCGGATCGGGTATAGGTCGGGTCGGGTCAATTTCGAGTTTCGGGTCATTTTCGGGTCAATTTCGGGTCATGGGTCTGGTCATCGGGTCTGAGTCAGGATTGCCAGGCCTACTAAGAGTAGAATGTTCCCGTCAAAAAAAAATGTAGAATGTATGAAAATTTGTTACCTATTTGAAAAGAAGTCGATATTCAGATAAGAGCATCTCCAATAATATATAAGATAGATCTACTGGCAAATTAGTTAAAATTGTTATTATTAAGCATATAGGTTACCATTGGAGTGGAAAAAATTGATGAGCTAGATTAAACAACCTTTCTCAAACAAGCTACATTGCTTTACTATTAATAGAAAACATCTCCACTTAAATTATGACATGTGTATGATCAAAGCTACTTTATTTATTTTTCTTCCAAGTTACAATATGCTACTGGTAACCATTAAAGCACTTCATAGCTACAAATATACAATCTTAAATATTTGATGTAGTAAGGTAAGGTACAAGGTATTGTAGTTTATTGTTAAACATGCTCTAAACAAGTTTATTAAATAAAGCGACACACTAAATCTGGGAAAAAAAAAAAAGATGCTCTAAGTAATTAATCAGTTATAGAGTATTCTAAAGTGTAATAATGTTATATTGACGTAAGTGATGAAGTAACCTAGTATAATAAACTGCCTAAAGTTAATAAAACAGTTATAGAGTATTCAAAAGTGTAATAATGTTATATTGACGTAAGTGATGAAGTAACCTAGTATAATAAACCGCCTAAAGTTAATAAATCAGTTATCGGGTATTCTAAAGTGTAATAATGTTATATTGACGTAAGTGATGAAGTAACATAGTATAATAAACTGCCTATAGTTAATAATATCATTAAAATTACCCTTTACTTATAGATAATAATAGTCATGCACAAATATTTGAAATTTTGTTAAACAAAAAAAAATCAAACTACGAAAACCACATAAAGACAGTGAGTAGATTATTTTGAAAATTCATGAAAAAGTATGAATGCTGCATTATTGATGTTAAAAATACCAAATTCAACTCCCCGTATACTAATTCCAAATTG